CCATTTTTGCTAGGTAAGCTACGCGAGCACGAAGCAGCCGCAAACTACACAACGTTTGCTCGCGTAACGTAGTCCACATGACGTGGATTCCACAGATGTAGATTGGCTATAGAACAAGATTTTATTATAACCTATACTTGTAATCAGTCAGTTTTCGTTCCGAACTTTGAAACAGCATGGAAAAAACATGTTTACTAGTTAAGCCTAACTAGGCTTAACTAGCCGAAAACTATTTATACTGTATATTACTATTTACATACAACGGTTATACTATTTTCTTTTCAATACTGAATGTATTAATCATGTAATTTACGTACATCGATAAAATTCTATTATTTCTTTTTCGATATGTGACATGTTTATGTAGTCATCCGTATTTCCCGCTCTCTCTTGCTAGCGTAAATGCTCTAGTTGTTGAATTCTGTGAACAGCGAGCATACTCTTGCATCGCTGCGCTAGCAAAGGAAAAACCATGCGGGCAAGAAGTAAGGGGAGGAGTCTTTGACGTCATCGGTTGTGCTAGCGCATGTTTGCTAGCGTTTTGCTCTCGCAAAGTGCTAGTTTGCGGCGGCTCTAACCAATGAAAAGCATACTTTCAATTTCCAAACGTTAAATGGATGGAAAATTGAACAAAATACATTTTGAAAATCATTTAGCTGTTAACGACGGATGAGAAATAACATTTAAATTTAAATTACAGCACTAACAATTGAAAATCTTCAACAGTGTAAATTTTTAAATTCGCTGTTAATGGGCCAGTAGACGAACCTCAGAATATACCTTGGCGACATAAGAAAACTGGTATAGAAAGAGTAAAAAATTTTAAATTTGTGATGAAAAATTAGATAAATATGTGCATTGAAATTAATTAAAAGCAAAAATGTCCAAATTAAGCAATATTTTCCATTTTAGGTCATGACCTCTTACCTTTTATTTCATTCTTTCTTGTTGCTCCCATTATGTTACGGGGAGAAGCTTTTATTTAAAACCCTAGTAATAACTCAAGGGTATTCTTTGTACACATAAGCAATAATAAATGTCTATTATAAGTGATCATTTGGATTAAGAAATTGAAAATTATGTTCGTTACATATTGGCTGGTTGTAGCTGGGAAAAAATATCATTGCTCTTGTGGATGATTCATTATAGCCAAGAGTTCATTATAAGTGAACACTACTGTAATAATAATTTTTATTTTGTCATCTATAAAGAAGTTTTTGTGGTAAAAATAAAATAATGAAGACGTTGCTGATATTTTTCATAAAGATCACCCAAAAAAAGCTTAGAAGACAATACTTTGTAAAATGGTTTTGTTTAACTAAAATTAAAATATTAATGCATAATACAGTACTTTTAATTGTGATTGTTGGTTAATTGTCGACTGCTTTAATAAACATGTTTCTCTTAGTAACAAGAAGAGAGAGTAAACTATTGGAACGTAACCCCATGTTTTGCACTAGTCCTTTGTTTTGTATAGCATGGATTTGCATAACACTGTACTTTTTTGGAATGTAACTACTAATTACATTAGCGATTATCTGTATTTGGAAAAGAAACTAGAATTGAGTCGAACTTTGCTTCCTATCTTTGTTACCTGAAGGTTAAATGTTACAATCTAAGTATAACAATTGATAAAAATTATATTTACTTAGGTGTTTTAGTTTTCTTATTGGTAGATTGTATTAAGTAAAATTTATTATTTTTATTTTTTTTGTTCATCTGTGTGAAAATTTCAATTCTTTAATAATGAATTTGAGTCTGTAACATAGTATTTTGGCACTAATGAAATACTGAGAATCTCGTTATAAATGCCCTTTTCATAAATTATTAATATGCTGTAATACTAAAATTACTAATGAATTAAAGTAGAATATTTGTACAGTATGCTCAGTATAATTACATATTTACTTACGCGTACTTATGTATGCTAAGTATATTTTTAACTTATACATATAGTATACTTGTGTTTAATATAGTTTGTGCGTGCATATTAGAAACAACCTAATTATTTTTAACAAAATATATAAAACTGTAATTTAATTAAGAATTTGTTGTTTTTTTCCTAGGGAAAGAAGGTAAAAAAAGTAAAGCCAAAAAATGGAAAGATCTGAACAGAAAAGGAGAAACAAAAGAGGGTGGTGATATGGATGCATTTTTAGATAAAACAGATGTAAATACTCAGGTATTCTAATTTTCTTTTATTTAAATATAATAATGCATTGCATTATGCAGGAAGTACACGCATTCTGCGTGTCTTTCTCTATTGAGAAGCAACCAACTGTAGTTAACTAAGGAATTCGATAATGATATAAATTGTATGTGTATGTTAGTGTGTCCTTTCTTAATTTAACATTTAGATAAATGAAATTCAGGTATAATACTGTGTGTAAGTACTAGTAAATACTGTCAAATGCAATAATGATTAACGTTAAGTTACCAAGTAGTCGATAAACTGTTTAATTTATTATGGAATCCTTATCATTAGATAAAAGAGAGTTTAAAACTTCTATTTTTAAAATTACATTTGATAACGTGTACGATGTTATTGATTTTCTGAAGTTATGCTTTTACGTCAGTTTGTGTCTTTAATTTCATTATCTTTATAATTGAATAGATTAAAGAAACCTGTCTGACATTAGATCTCTTCAAACAGCTTATTTTTAAAATCTTACTAATTTGTTATAAACTAGTCAGTTTGATTTATTTCTTGAAATCTATGAATTGGATTAATTTTCTAAATATCTTCAACAAAAAATGCCCAAGTTCTATGCTGTTAGTTTTAATGTGTTGCAGATTAATACACAATAGTTAAGGCAGTTCCACTTATGCTTACCTTAATACTGAGATTTAAGATTTGGAAACTGTTGATGAAAAGTTTGTGTTGACTAAGACTGCATTTACACCGCAGGAGATAATTTGCATGTCTGGTTGTTTTTCCTTATCTCTGCAGTCTTTTCTAGATATTCAATATTATAGTTTCAAGTGGAGAAAATAACAATGCAAGTATAATTCAAATTCAAACTTTGAATTTGCAAGAAGAGGTTTTTATTAGAATAGAAACGTTTTAGATATATTGTATTGCCATTGCCTTTTACAAACATTTTCTCCATTTTGTTAAAGAGATTACAGGAAGCTGTGAGAAGTTTGCACTGATTAGTCAGTATTAGTGATGTGCAAATAGTAATTTCCCATAACTTTTGTTCCTGTTACTTGCAAGGATCTGGAGTAATATTTTTTTCAATAATATCTCTCTTGGAATCATTCACAACAGGAGAATAACAAACAAATGTAACAATAAACAGTGATAAACATGTGTTCTGCAGTCAACAATTATAATTATAAAATTTATCGATTTAGTAAAATTAACTAGAACTTATCTTAATCTTACATACTAATCTATTTTATATCATCTTGCTAAAATACATATTGATTTAAAATGTCATTCTTTAAGCCTTTTTAGTCTTAGGAAATAATGGTATAGCACATGTTTTGTGTACTGATTACGGTTTCAATCAAGCTTTCAAGGTGATGGCTGAATGGGGAGGGATGGAACCTGGAATCTTCCAAATTAACATTTCAAAAAAAAAAAACCTGAAGATCGGAACTGGACTTAAATGGCTCCCTCAAGATAGAGGAATATTCTTATTGTCTGGGCTGCACTAAAATTCACTAAAAGAATTAAATAAAAATTAAAATAAATCCAAGCTAACCACAAAGCTTGATAAGATACATTATTCATAGTAAAAGACTATGTACTGATTTAAAAGGTCATTAGTTTATCATTTAGTCTTGTGAATAAAAAAAAATCTCTGCAGTTAAGGCTTTAATTTTAATAGGCATAACACTATAATTACTCACACAAATTTCAGAACTATCTGTAATATAAACAATATAACTAATATAACAATATTATAACTGATAGACAGTATTATACACTTTAAAGATATATGTAGAAGTTCTTGTTCAGTCACCGGGAACAGTTTTGCTTCAGAGGCAACCTTTCGTTACAGGATATTCCTCTAAAATTATGAAAGTACAGTTTAAAATGTTCACTGATGGTAAGCCCAATAATTAAAAGCTATACTTATAGGTTTCAATTAGAAGTCTGAAGTTCTGTTTAGTTTCTGGTGATAGGACAAGGCAGATATGTGAAGATGTTCAGTTTTCTTCTACTTATATATTCTTAAAGTGACTTATGTTTAAAAAATTCTTATGTTTAAAAGATTTGCCTGACTGGGAACATCATCTGTTTAATTGAAATAAAGACAATAAAAACTCGCTTTATAAAATAAACAAAAAACTCATATAACAAGCAGAGATTTGATAAAATTCTATTTGAGTTGAGATTACAAAGTGTCAATAGTAATTTATTACTGTTTTATTTATACCCATTATCTCCCTAAAAAGTAATTGAGTAATGAGGTAGCAAATACTGATCATCCAAACATTGATCTACCCTTTTCTCAAAATTAACAGGTTTGCACATCTAGTTGGTATCATTACGAGGGTCGTTTGATAAGTATGGTAAAGAATCAAATTAAACACAAGTTTTTGGAAAAACTTAATTTTATTTTTCAATATAATATAATCTCCATTGAGGGCTATACACTTGGTACAGAGAGTTTCCAGTTTTTAATCCTGTTGGAAAAGTAGCTTTTGTCGAGGTCTGCAAAATATGCATTGACAGCCACAATGACATCCTTATTTGATGATAATTACTTTTCACCAAGCCAAATTTTTAAGTTTGGGAACAGGAAGAAGTCAGATGGGACCAAGTCTGGAGAATAGGGTGGATGAGGAATCAATTCAAAGTGCAATTCATGCAATTTTGCAATTACAACTGCTGATTTATGGGACAGTACATTGTCTTGGTGAAAGAGCACATTGTTGTGCACCAGTGTTGGCCATTTTTGTTTCATCTCTTTTCTTCAAATGGTTCAAAAATGTTGCATAATAGGTTCCTGTTGTTTTTACCCTTCTCCAAGTAGTCAACTAGGATGATTTCTTGGGAGTCATGAAAAAACAGTAGTTGGCTGGCAAGGTGATGGCCAAACAGTCTCTGCCTTTTATTTTTTATTTTTTTTTTTTTGTACACTTTCACCACTCATTATTTACTGCTTTGACTCAATATTAATCCCTGTTTCATCCAGTTGCAAATCGATGCAAAAAGTTCTGCAAATTGTGGTTAAACATTGCCGAACACTGAGTTGAAATGTCCTTTCACATGTGTTTTTGGTCCACAGTCAACAATGCAGCATCCATTATTCACACAGCTTTTTCATCTGCAATATTTCNTTTGTAGGATTAATTCATTCATAAAATGTTTTATTTTGTGTGCTAATGTATAGCACGTTTGTTTGTAAAATTTATATTCTGGAGAAATTATGTCTAAGATGTCATAGTAATGCATATAATATGTCTAATACGAAATATTTAGTTCAGAAAAGGTGTTATTGTTACTCTATTCTTTTTATGTACAGGTAGCAACAAAAGTTTATGCCAACATTTTAGGGATAGATTCTAGGGTCAAACGAAAGCTTAAAATTATCTATAAATTTTTCCAAAATCTGTTTTGTTTTCTAGTGTCCTGCCAAAAATGTCCTTTCAAAAACCATTTTTATTAATAAATGGAAATTGAATTGTTCAATGTCCTCCATGGATGCAGGAGATTTTTTTTGAGCAATTTTTGTAAATTATTCTAATTCTGTAAAAAACAAAATGCCATTCAAAGTAAATTTACATTAAACTCTTGCTTTCCAACAATTTTTTTTATTGTAATTAAGTGGATGGATACTGCAAAATCTTAGTGGAGTTTTTCTGAGTGGAGATCTTAAGGCTTTATTTGCATTTATTACATCGGGACCTACTCGGGCAGCATTGACTTACTTCGATATGACAATGAATAACAAAATAATACAAAATTATCTTTTTAAAGGTTGACAACTCCAGCATTAGTACTTCATGGAGAATCTGAAAAGTACTTTTTGGGGCAGGCTAATATCTCAAAAATGAAGGAAATTTGGAAAAACATTTTGAATGTTTTAAGCTTATTTATGACCTTAAAATTATTCCTAAAATTGGTTGGGGGTTTTATTGTACCCTGTATAAGAATATGATGGAATGTTAGGTTATACTTGTCTCTAGTAACATTAAATTTTTCATTAATTGGCTGGTTCATTGTCGTCACTGGAACAGTTTTCTTCAAAGTTGTCCTATCTGCTTTGTTTTAAAATTTATTTCTGTTAACATTATTGGTTTGTTTTTATGTATACTNTAACAATAAATTCACAAACCCAATTTTAATAATTATAATAAAATTAATTCATTAAAATTATGATATGACAGCCTAACCTCCTACATCTATTCAAATTACTTTATCTAATTATAAAATTAGCCTTATTATAATGAGATAATTCAGCATCAGTGTTTTTAACTTACCATTTTAATAATATGAAATGAAATCTCCAAAAACATTTGCTTAAATGTAATATTTTTTGTGGGTAAAAAGCCTAGTGTTATATAATGTCATGAAATAATAATAATACATGTTATATGCAGTTTTTCAATTGTAGTCTTTTGATGTAAATGTTTTCAGTGTAGTAATCACAACTCTCTTTATTACAGAACTCCACTTTTATGTTAGGAATTAGTACTTGTCTTCAGTTCACTATGATTGTTACATGTAAATTTTATTCTAGATTAATGATAAACGATTTTAATGAGGACGATTTCTGCTTTGTGTACTAAAAGTAATCTTTTGCGGGGTTTGAGTATTTGTATCCGGGAGTGATAGAAATTAGCCATTCTAACTCAAGTTAATGTCATTGAATATATTAGAAATGCAGTACAGTAAAGTTTCGATTTAATGGACTAATTTTGGCAAATTAACGTTTGTTAAAGTCAAAAGTCGGCTATATTGTAAAGTAGGTTTTACGTGTGTGTAAGTTAAAAAATATCTAAGTAAAAAACAGATAAACTAGTTAATGTAGATACATTTTTGTAATTAAAATTATGTATAAATGAAAGTTTAATTTCACAGAGAAGTTTTTCTATGTGTATTATATACACTCTGTACTTCTGAGACTGTAATAAACAAATATACAGTCTAAAACCAGTGGCTACCAACATTTTTCTGGTCATGCCGCACCTAAGCATCTCTAAAATCCTAAAGCCCCTGTGACA